AACCTAATCATTATAAGTATATTTACTGCTAAAATATTGAGAATGAAGCTAAAATGTATTAAAGAAATGTTGATTGTTGTTTTTTTTTAATTTCGCGCAAAGCTACACGAGGGCTATCTGTGCTAGCCGTCCCTAATTTAGCAGTGTAAGACTAGAGGGAAGGCAGCTAGTCATCATCACCCACCGCCAAATCTTTTACCAACGAATAGTGGGATTGACCGTCACATTATAACGCCCCCACGGCTAAAAGGGGCGGGCATGTTTGGTGTGATGGGGATTCGAACCCGCGACCCTCAGATTGCGAGTCGAGCGCTCTAACCACCTGGCCATTATATTATATTATATCATTAATATTATTTCTAATGTTACTAAAGCGCTACTACTATTACTGGTCTTAATAAAACGTTACTACTATTGCTAACCTTAATAAATTTCTAGAACTATTATTAATCTTAGTTAATAGCGATCATAGTTATTAATGGATTTGGAAAGTTGCCAGAAGTTTTTGTTTTTAAAGTTTACTATGGCTGTCATCAGCATAAACTTGGTATAAAGCCGTATAACTGTTCGTAATACCAGTAAATACTTTACATGTTATTTTTAATACAATATCTACTATATTACTCAACAAGACATTTTGTTCGACATCATCAGAGGTTTATTTTGAGCCCATTCTTTGTGTTATATTTCGGTTTACAAAATGTAAAATAACAAAACGATAAACAGAACTTACCAAACAGCGAACGTTGCCACTTTAATTTGTATTTACATGTACAAAGGTATTTGTCACATACACATTGGCGCATACATGTGTGTGTGTGTAACAAAGCGTGTAAATTGAATGAGGCTGAGGATTAACTGTATATTGCAGTGTTTTCCTGAGCCGTGATAACGTTTTAATAAATTTATCAATGGAAACCCGTGTTTTAACACCATTCGAGAAACCCTAAGAAATCACCGAAGCTTGTACAAACAAGATAACTTATCGGATGTTTTCCAAAGTATTAACACTATTTAGAGTTTGGATCTACAAATACCTATCTATATAGATGTATGTGTGAGGTAGAGAGGGTTAGTATATTATTATACGCTATGTTCACGGCAACTAATATGCGTATAATAACCACTTATGATCTATGAAATGCTTACATTAGTGAGAACTTGCACAAACGCACATTAGGTTCTAAATGTCACATAATATGTGTATTAGAAGGAAGTTATTCAAGATTATATTAATTTCTTGATCTCAAATATTAACAGAAATATTTACGAAATGTTTCCTTCTATACTACAGGTAATACGTACATTAGTAGATAATATACAAGAATATATTCACGAGTTTCTGGATCTCAGGCTTTGATGATATAAATAACGTGTCAACCACTACTGTGTCAGTTGTACCACAGCCGGTCTCGTATGCCCTGGTAGTGAACGAAAGGCCTCGTCGGGATTGGATATGTAGTGGATATAGTGTGGTTGACACATTTTTTTTATACAGTCATTTTTACTTTATTCATAAGTTCTTAGTATTATTTATATCAGTGGGAACCTTTGTAAATACTATGTTAGGTTTTGAACCTTAGGTAATATGTGCATAAGTGGGTAATTGTACAAAAATAGTCACTAGTCTTTGGATCTCAGATACTATATTTTTAGGGATTTGCACATATTATATTACGTTTTGGGATCTTAGATTTTATGTACTTTAGTGTGGACATGTAAAAAATACTTTAGGTTCTATATTAGGTAACGCATACACTTGTAGAGAGCTGTATTAGATTCTGTTCCTAGACGAGTTACTGATGACATTTCGAGGAACAATGTGAACGAAGACAATAATGAAGCAGTAATGCTGACGGAAATATCTAGTTCAACAAACCGAAAAAACGAAGATTAGAAAATTAAGAGCATTAAGATTATGTAGATTTATTTATAAAAACAACTTATTAAGCTGTAAAATATTCTCAATACGTTTATTAATTACTCCTAAAGATCACTATCATTTGTAACAAAAGATGTTCCATGTTCATCATAGCGAAAAACACGTAAGATCAAAAAGATTGGCAAGCCACATTCTAAGAGCGTCTCTGGTAAAGTTGACGTCGCTGTGAGCCAACATTGCAATCCGGGTAGCAAACGAATGAAGCATTGAATTGAACTTTTTGGCAAGATGTAATAATAAGTGAATAAAATAACAAGTAGCTTCTGATTTTGTAGTTTTGTTTCTTGTATTTATTTAAGTATGAATGCGACAAATAAATTTCATTCAGAATTTTGAAACAACAGATGTAATGTGAAATAAAATGGATTATCGATGGAAATGTGTTAGACTATTTCCAACCTAACAATGCTTTGTAATTACTCTACTTCAGATCTAACAGCACTTCGTTGTGACAATGCTTTAAAGTTAACAGGTACTTATTTCATTATGATCCTATTTATTACCTGAAAGTAGAATATTGTGTGTCTGCTACAGACCCGAATGAACTGTTTTTAGACTTCACTTTAGATCTAACAGTATTCTGTTGTGACTGTAATTCAGACCTGACAGTACTGTTTTGTGATTCTACTTCAAACCTAATAATACTTTGTTTGGACTACTACAGACTTGACAGTACTATTTTGTGACTAC